TCTGGGATTTATTTATCTTCTATAATTGAAACTTTGCTGCCTTGAGCGGAGGCCACAGCCGGCCAGGGCAGATGGGAAGCTTGGCTTCCTCCATCGCCGGGGCAACCAAGCCTCCTGCTTGCTCCAGCTCCGTGGCTGCCGGCCGCCATCTTGGTTGGGTTAATTTGCATATAGTCGCTCTGATTGGCTGGTGGGCGTGACTTGGGGCATAGCAAAGGTACGGTCAATTTGCATGTTTCTCTTTTATTAGATTAGATAGCCATACCAGCTTTCATTAGGTTATCATTTCATGATATATCTCTTTCCTTCATTTACTTTGAAGATTTCTGAAGCCTTTATTGTAAGGTGCATTTCTAGGTAATATGGCTTGATGGACTCCATCCACCTCCACTCCCTCTGTAAGGTGCATTTCTAAATAGCATCAGTTGGGTTTGGTTATTATACCCAGCTTAATAATTTTGGTCTTAATTGGAACATTTAATCCATTGTTTTCTTCATCTACCTCTGCCTCCTGAAATCTTAACTTTTGAAGACAATCTCAAGATGCTACTTTTTTATGAAGTCTTTCCCAATGCCATACATGACCTTCCATTTCAACAATCAGATATGAGCTCTCTTTCCTTTTAACCACTATGGCATATTATTTGTATCTCTCTTATTATAATTGGGTTCTGCTATTTATTAAAATGATTTGAAAATGTGTTTTATCCTTCCTATTTAGAATATAAAGTATCCAAAGAAATAGACTGAGTCTTAATCATCTTTTTATCCAATAGACTAAATATAGTGAGCTAATTTTAATCTCATAAACATTTACTGAGTACTTCTTATGTGCCAGGGACTGAGCTAGATACTCAATATAGGTCTCTCTTATTCACCACAGTGTCCCTTCCATGTAGCTTGGTGACCTCAACTATAAAATTGAGTTTAAATTATGTTAGTTCATATAAAGGTACCACTGGGCATGAACCTCAATATTCTACTCCAGTTACTAGACATACAGTTACTAGTTACTAGATAAACAGCGTGACTACCCTTTTTGAGTGTCATACTTAGTCTATTATTTCATTTTTAAATTTCAGTTTAAAATGTTATTCATAGCTCCTCAGAGATGAGAGCCATTATCATTCTAGAGTGTAATCATCAGCTGTTCATTAGTTGAGACCCCTATACAAACAGAATTGAATATTTTTTAAGGTAGATAGCCATGACATAATATATATATATTTGGTTTCTGCCTCTGGTTCCTGACACAGAGTTCCTAAAACCCTTGTAATTCTTGAGTGATAGGCATGCTAGGAGCATTTTTGTTCTAAAATTTGGTCTTTAACTCCAGTTCCTGATAAAAGAGCTTCTAAAACCCCATGAAGGGTCTTTTTTATGCTAATGAGGTGACTGGTGGCTGGGGGCCCCTAGATAACTTAAGGATAGGGACTGGTTGCCAGAAAGCATCATTAAGAGGGCTGGAACTTCAGTGTAGTTGAAAGAGGGATGCGGCCTGTTGGCCGCGAGTTTAACATGCTTGGCTGTAGTGGATACCACAGAGAAGGGAGTTGGGGTGGGGGGAGTTAGTAAAGGTAAAGAGGGCCAAATATATGGTGATGGAAGATTATCTGACTTTGGGTAATGGGCACACAATACAATATACAGATCATGTAACATAGAAATGCCACTTGAAACCTATATGATCCTATTAACCAATGTCACCCCAATAAATTTAATTTTCTTAAAAAAAGAGGGTTGGAACTTTCAGCCCCACCTCCCATCCTCCATGCAGGAGATTGTCTATCACCAATGGCCAATGATTTAATCTGTCATGCCTACATAATGATGCCTCCATAAAACCCTAAGCAGTCGGATTTAGAGAGCTTCCAGGTTGGTGAACACCATCCAAGGCCCAGGAGAATGACACACCCCAAACTACACTAGGACTGAAACTCCTGTGCTCAAGACCTTGCCCTATGCATCTCTTCCACTTGGCTGATCCTGAGATAGCCTTTATAATAGACCAGCAATAGCAAGTAAAGTGTTTCCCTGAGTTCTGTGAGCCATTATAGCAAATTATCCATTTTCAGGAGGGGATGGTGAGAACACCCAATTTTCTGCCAAGTCCTATAGAAGTTGTAGGTAACCTGGAGACACACTACTCGTGATTGGCATCTGAAGTGACAGGTGGTCTTACAAGACTGAACCCTTACCCTGGGGGGGTCTGTGCTAACTCTGGGCAATTAACGTCAGATTGCTTGGTGTGGAAACATACATATCTGGTGTAAAAAGTGTTCTATGCATAGAGGGAACAATATCTCTTTAATAGCCAAGGTTAGTTAACCTTTCTGCCCTGGGAACTAGCTGCAGAGACCAAGAGGGACAATAGCCATCTCTTGGAGGAGGAAGGCTAATGAACTAAGAACAAATGTACACAGTATAGGAGAAAAAGGGATTCTATGGAAAGTAACCTCACAAGGTGAACTGATCATAAATTCCTAACTGGGGAGGTCATGATGGGTAGTCACACCCCAGGCATATAACTTTAGTAAAAGATTGATCGTTGCCTTAAGCAAGCCCTGTCCTTGTTTCTGTGCATCAAGGTTAACACAGCTTTGTGTTAATATCACCACCTTTTTAGACCCTCCTTTTAAAGTGTTGAAAGCACATAATATTAACTATCCTATAATCCAATCCCCACCTTACTTTCTCCCACCTCCATGTAATCATCCTTAAATTCCCTCCTTAATTTCAAATGCATTAAAGAAACTTATTCTCCAGAGCTTTTGAAATCTTTCTCTTTTTTACCCTAGCCAGTTTGACTCAGTGGACAGAACATCAGTCTTCAGACTGAGAGGGTCCCAGGTTCAATTCTGGTCAAGGGCACATGCCCAGGTTGTCGGCTCAATCCCCAGTAGGGGGCATGCAGGAGGCAGCCAATCAATGATTCTTTCTCATCATTGATGTTTCTATCTCTCTCTCTCCCTTCCTCTCTAAAATAAATATATATATCCTCATCCAAGGGTATTTTCCATTGATTTTTAGAGAGTGGACGAGAGAAGGAAAGACCGAGAGAACCACATTGATTGGTTGCCTCCTGCACATACCCTGACCAGGGCCCGGACCAGGGAGGAGCCTGCAACCCAGGTACATGCCCTTGGCTGGAATCGAACCTGGGTACCTTAGGTCTGCAGGCCAATTGATACTCTATCCACTGAGCCAAAGTGGCTAGGGCCAGAGCTTTTGAAATCTTGCTTCTCAGGGCATGTCATCAGTTTGGCTCAAATAAACTCATAACAGTTCTCCACAGGTTTGGACATTTCTTACATCGACAAGAGAAAGTCAGGTAGGCACTAATCTGAAAGAATTTAATAATCCCTGGGTTACTTCTCATTCAGTTTTCTAAGGTACAAATTCTAAGCTTAAACTAAATGAAAGGCTTATGTACCTATCTAACCCATGATGCTTGTGGAAATTTTCCATAATATTCCATGGCAAGTTTGAAATTCTTTTGAGAAAAAAGTAAGTATATAATTTCAAGTTAGGTTGTTTTAACTTTCCTAAAAATAAATGAAACTGCAACATAAGTAATTATACAAACTTAAAACAGAAAAGGAAAAATATTTCAGGTACCTCAACTTTGGTACCTCTGTGGTAGGCAATTAGACAGACATGAGCAGAGCAAGGACAAGGGGCCAGGTACAAAAGGTCACCAGTGGGGAAAGTCCTAGGTGCCTAGCAAAGGGCAATTGTAGGGTGGACCTTGCCCCCAAAGAGACCTTTCCTCCCCTAGCATATCACTGGTCATTCAGTTTAGACCTGCTGACCTTTCCTCCCTAGAGATAATATTTAGGCCTCAGTTGTATTTCAGCTCCAGGCCCAGAAAAGCAACAAAACCAGATAAGCAACACTATGGCTGAACTCAGGACCAGCTGCTTTAGATAATAACCTCCTGCCCTGGCGCTGAACAATCAACAATCAGTGGAGACCTAGACCCTGAAATGACATACCCGGACACCTGCTGAAGATGCTATTAAAATCTTCCCCTGGGACCTCCCCTAAAATCTCCACCCTTAAAACCTTTGGACTGAGGATCCAGTGCACTCTCCCTCCAGGAACACTGGTCTGCCTTTCCCTTCTCTCTCTCCTTCCCCCCAGGCATATTACCTTTACCTTCCTCACTCCCACACTCCAAGGGCCCTTCCTTTACCTCTAAATTGTTTCCTAAGTCCATTCTCCTACTAATTACTTTTTCCTCTGTGATTTTTATAAATAAACTAGAGGCCCGATGCATGAAAATTCGTGCAAGAGTAGGCCTTCCTGCCCTAGCTGGTTTGACTCAGTGAATAGAGCAATGGACTGCAGACTGAAGGGTCCCAGGTTCAATTCCAGTCAAGGGCACATGCCCGGGTTGTGGGCTCGATCCCCAGTTGGGGCTGTGCAGAAGGCAGCCAATCAATGAGTAGGCCTTCCTTCCCCCAGCTGCCGGCACCGGCTTCCCTCCGGCACCCGGGACCCAGGCTGGCTTCCCTCTGGCCCCAGCTTCATCAGGAAGGACATCCGGAATGACGTCTGGTCTAATTAGCATATTACCCTTTTATTATTATAGATGTTCTCTGAATTCTTTCCTGGCCAAAACTCAAGTACTGAGCCCTAGCTGGTTTGGCTACGTGGATAGAGCATTGGCCTGGAGGCTGAAGGATCCTGGGTTCGACTCCAGTCAAGGGTACATGCAGGGCTGCGGGCTCGATCCCCAGTAGGGGGCGTGCAGGAGGCAGCCAATCAATGATTCTCTCTTATCATTGATGTTTCTGTCTCTTCCTCTCCCTTCCTCTCTGAAATCAATAAAAATATATCTATTAAAAAAAACACAACTCAAGTACTGAGGTTGCTGAACCCAGGTCCGGTCTGACCCCACAGGTCTAACACCTTCCTACCACTTACAACACCTTCGTTTGTGCTAACAGAAATTTAATAAATTATTGAATTGTGATATATTTGTCAGGCAAAACAAAAGTCTAACTATAGGATTGAAAATTGACACCACAGTCCCAATAGAATAGTTTACAAAATTAAATTAAATGCCATGCTAAAGAGTTTCAAACAGCTTTTTTCCTGTATATTTATTAACTTATACAATAATCTGGAACGTCTGTGCTTGTTTATTCTTATGAAAAAAAGGCAGAAAACTACATAAGCATTTTTAGATAGTCATTTAGATGTAAAATGTTTGTCACTAATAATTTATCAACATAAATATCCTTCTACCTTTGCAACTGAGATTCCATAGTCCTGGAGAGGTTTAACAGCCTTATTCAGTTCTTCAAGAAATACAGAGGTACTTGGAGAATCTAAAATAAGAAATGTTTTATGAATGTTTAATGATTTACCTCTTAGGAAAGATAAATTCTTAAAATTAAAGCCTAACAATAAGTTTCCTCTGAGCATACTGATTAAATAGCAATAGAAAAGTCACATAAGTCAGGATATAAAAAATACTTACCAGCTTGACAAAAATAAGCTAAGGAGGCTTTTCCTGCTTGCAAGGTACTAAAATATTTCTGAGGACTCAGTTCTGGTAGAGAGTTGACTGCTGACTTATAAACAATGCACATCATGACAAAAGAGATGCCAACTCTAAATCCATTGAAACTAAAAGACATCATCAGCTGTAGTTATATATAAGCAGGAGATGCTGTCTGCTTTGTTCACTGCTGTGTTCTGTTGCCTCAGACAACACCTGACAAGAGTAGGTGTTCAATAAAGTTTTGCTGAATTAATTTGCTAAATAAATAAATGAAGTAAAATCTGCAAAAAAAGAACAATATGAGGCATTATTTTTATATATTTGATTTTGATACCTTATTCCTTTCTAGAAAATATCTGAGATGATATATAATGACATTGATTTGATAATGCTAATGCTATTGATTTTTGATACTTGCAAAAGATATCAAGAACATGTAATATACTAAGTATCTTAAGTTTAATAAGTAGTTACTGGAGTATGTGAAGCTAATTGTCATTTTTAAGGGTTCTAAAATTTATTATCTAACATCCAATTAATTTTTAAATTGGGCATTTTATCCTTCCCTACCGAGAGTGGATTTACAATTAACACACAAACAGCTATTTAATACCATTAACATGGGAGTGAGACATCAAAATATATGTCTACTATGTTTACATTCTTTTTACTTTAAACCCCCTAACTACTTAACAGTCCTTCTTAATACACATTTTTAATGCTCAAGACTTTGATTTATTTATACAGCTTAGAAATTCAAATATCTTTTCAAATCACTTCTCTTTTCTGAACTCAGATTTGTTCTAGATATCCTCCTCGCATCTTCTTTCATGCTGTACTTACTTCCATGCTGTCCTCTGTATCTGCTTTCAATTCTCTTCTGTTTTGCTACTTCTAAATTTCTCTTAAACAATATCTTCTTTCAGGAAACTCTTCCATTGATAATCTATATTATCTATGTTTAAAAGAAGATAGGAAAATTTGCATAATATAAAAATATACTTCTAGAAGGTAAACATATACCCACAGGTGTAGTTGAGAATTTACTTTAATTTTTCTTTTCAAACAAAAGATCACTATCTTAAAACAGGACACAAGGGGAAAAAGCAAAAATTGCCCATAAGGATAGGGGTAGAATTTTTCCATAAAGAATAAAATGATAAAAGAATGAAAAAATTAGGAAAAAATTACACTAAATTGAATATTTACTCTGGTCTTTCAATATTATCAATAAGCATATAACACTTCTCCCTAAGAAGTAGGTATATCTAAAGAAGGAGCTAATTACTCATGATTACTTCCTAATATTCTTTTCATTAGAGCTAATTTATATCAAACAGTGAATGAATTTGCCATCAATTTTTAATAATGAGCCAAGAGTTCAAAACTCAAGTAGAATGAGGAGTGAGGACTGTGAGCAGTATCTAAAAAAAAGTAATTTTAATGATCTAATTAAGGGGTATCCTTGACATTAAAATTGATTCTACAGTACAGCCATTTTAAGGCAGCATATTTTAAAGTGACTATATTAATGGGAATGGTTTAAAATAGGTCATCCAAGATTTTCTTTATATTCTGGAGGTGGGGAAATGCATGCATCCTGAGACTAAGGGAATAATGATATACCAATGAAATAATTCCAACCTAAGTAAAAGGTAAAATACTTAAATGAAAGCACAATTGAAAGAGTCAGTATAAAATATCATTTTTCCTGTCTCTGTGGTTACAATTCAATTATTTTAACATTAAATTGGACATTAGGGTTAACATATGATTCTTTTCCCCTAGAATGTATTTTGTAGCACAAAAAGTTCTAACTGCACATTCAAGACTTGAATACTTTCCCACATCTATCATTGGACAAATGACAATGGACAAATGAGATTACACATGTCAAAGTACTGTGAATTTGGACAATTAGTGATGTTGCTGATTATTCTTATATATTCTTAGAGATAAGAACTCATAGGTATCCTTGCAGTTTATCCCATCCTTGATAAATTGATTATTTAAGGAATTACTTAAAGCAGAGACTGCTGCACAGGTCAACTTGAAATAGAGTTTACATGGTCATAACAAAATAAATACTGAATAATGATATAGCCAAATCTATGGCAACCACAGTTGAGAAGATGGGAGATAGAAAGTAAGGCTTGCCGAACCGGTTTGGCTCAGTGAATAGAGCATCGGCCTGCGGACTGAGGGGTCCTGGGTTCGATTCCAGTCAAGGGCATGTACCTTGGTTGCGGGCACATCCCCAGTAGGGGGCGTGCAGGAGGCAGCTGATCGATCTTTCTCATCGATGTTCCTAACTCTCTATCCCTCTCCCTTCTTCTCTGTAAAAAATCAATAATATATATATTTTTTAAAAAAAGAAAGTAAGGCTTCATGCAGACAGGGCGAGAAAAGGGATAAAAGAGCCAAATACTAATCTTTCACAAGACCAAAAGCCAAGTTTATTGGAAGCAGGAATATCAATGCCGAAAACAAGTTGAAAGTAAGTGCCTTTAAGGAATAAGACATTGGAGGGAGAAAGACACCAAAGGGACTTTTTAAAAAATATATATTTTTATTGATTTCAGAGAGGAAAGGAGAGGGATAGAGAGATAGAAACATCAATGATGAGAGAGAATCATTGATCAGCTGCCTCCTGCACGCCCCCTACTGGGGACCAAGCCCACAACCCAGGCATGTGCCCTTGGCCAGAATTGAACCTGGGACTCTTCAGTCAGCAGGCCTACACTCTATCCACTGAGCCAAACCGGCTAGGGCAGAACCTTCTTTAAACAGTGCATCTTTTCACTTTGATTTTTTTTTAAATTACCTATGTGTTAGGAAATCATTTATAGCTTCTATTCATATTAGCCCAACCTACCCCGTGGGGCCACAGAAGAGTGGTCATTGCACAGGAATAAAATGCCTTTGTACAGAGACATGATCTCCTCATAAAAATATATTTAAACTAAAGAGAAGGTAAGTATGGGTGGCAAGTGGTGGGGAAAGAGAACATCCAGTGAGAATAGAATAAAAACAAAGATACAGAAGGTACTTGGTGACTTTTCCTCCAGTTATTGGAAAATGGAACAGAAAACAGTACTTTAATGCTTCAAAAACTAAAAAAAATCAGAACAAAGTGATGAGTACACTGTGTACCTTGAGAGAAATGTGACCTCGTCAATTTGTTGAGATAGCTCATTAGCATGGGGTAACAGTTCCAGTTTTCCTGGCAGGTATAACGTAGGATTACACTTATTACCTACCTGTACTTCCCACCTCTAGCAAAGTTTGAGATCACCATGTGGCTTATTCTGGCCAATAAAATGTGAGCAAATGTGGTATGTCCCTTTCAGGCAATAGTTTTAACAGCTAGTGTGCAATATACCAGCTTTATTTTCTTTTGCCACAGTCACTAAAAATGCTCAAGTGGTGGCTGTCATCAGCATCGGTCTCAGAATGAACACAAAAAGAGAACCCACAACTGATAAGCAATGAGCATGTGTCATAGGAAGAAATAAACCTTGTTGTCTTAAGCCACTCAGATTTTAGGACTTATTATTGCAGAACAATCTAATTTATCTTCATTGATATACAAACTATAAGTGAGATGCTGCCATAACAAGAACTCCAAAATACTGGATCAGGGATCAAGCAACAAGGAAGCCTTCCCCCCCCACCCCCCCTAAGGAAACTTATCAGAGACAGGAGCTCAGCAAATGATCCACATTAAGGAGTAACAAAACATTTGATGAAATTGTCACTACAATAATTTGGAAGTGGCACATACCTAATGAATTGATGAGAATGTATCTAGGGGGCTAATGGATGTATTTATACCTTAAGAGAAGAGGCTAGAAGACGGGAAGATGAGAACTATGTGAGAGTTGCTGTTGGTTGTGCCTAATGAAATATTAAAAGAAAAGTACTCAAAGAAGAACCACCATCCAAGAGACTAGTGATTCAAACCTTAAAATAATCCTTTAGTCCCCACCTTTGTCGGGTCAGGCGGTAAGCTGAAAAAACAGCTCAGCCATGGGAAGAGCTCATAACCTCCAAAGCCAACTTCAGATGTGGTCAAGGATAATAAAAATGAAAGGTACCTCTTGCAGGGCAAAGCCAAGGACCATGGAGAACTATACTCTAGAACAGTGGTTCCCAACAATGGGGCACATGCCCCACACAGGGGCAATTTGATTTTTAAGGGGGGCAATTCGAGAATGAGTTATTAACAGTGAATTTTTTGCATTTCTTATGCTCCTAAGGGCCTCATATATAGTACATAAATATATATTGTGACATATTTATGCATTTTAGTTCTCTATTATATGTTTTGAAACTTTGCTATTTTTTTTCATATCACTTTGTATTATCATTTTTTAAATAATTTCTTAGTGACTTCTTCCTTAGTACTTCAACTGTCCTTTCATTCTTTTATTTTTTTCTTTCATGGATGCCATGTTCTTTGGAAGCTTGTTTAGACCAAGTTAATGGCCTTTTAGGCTTCCTCCAGGAAAGTTTACTTTTTGAATAATAAGTATATGTCATAGGGGGAGCATCAGGATTTTAGAGATGCTTAGGTGGGACATGGCCAAAAAAGAGTTTGGAACCACTGCTCTAGAGCATGTGTCAGCATATGAACTATCTGTTACTGGTCTATAATAATGAGATCAACATAGAAATTGAGTGTAAATGTTTAGAAGCTTTTATTGCAATTTCACACATTTGCAAATAAAATGCTAAGGGCAACAAAAGTTTTTGTTTGGCACCAAAATATTGAAAGAGCCCCCGGAGGGAAATGAGGACAATGTACCTCAAGGGAAAAACACTGATATTCCTGCTAGTGAGGGGAGGGGGCAAGGATTCACCTTCAGGTGTTCTGCAGACAGGTGGAGCAGCTGGTGGCCCTCTCCAGCCAGAACAATCCCATTTTGAAATTGGGTCCCACACATAGTACTCGGCAAACGGTTCAGCTTTAAATGTTTGAAAGACCATTGTGCTAAAGGAATCTGCCCTCCTAGAACAACAATATCCAACCATTATGCATTTGGACACATTTCCAGTTTTAAAATATCTAGCAACAAGCTTTTCTAGAAGGCCACTGATTCATTTGCCTTTTATAGGCCTAAATTACCCTTTCGATTAACCAAAAAAGTAACGGTTTTCCCTCTCAACAAAAAGAAGAAATTGACAACTGTAAACATTAAGCAAATTATACCAAGAGCTGTGGGCATCATTCTCTGGGAAAAAGACATGTTTCATATTTTGCAACAAATGGGGCACTTAATGCTTACAAAGTTCCTGTAAGAGTATTTTGTCAAAAATTAGCTTACTTAAGGTTTAATGCTGCTACTGTAGAACAGAACCTGCTCATTGAACCAGCCTCAAATAAAATGCTGATTAGATCTCATCACAACTTATCATTTAAGAACCAAAGGAGTCAGCATTGTCAACATCTCTCTACTTTACAGCCATTTCAAGATAATTGGGGAAAAATTCTTTATCTCCATCCCCACCCCCCTAGCACACATACACCTAAAAAAAGGAGAAAAGAGGAGGGTATCCACAGGTTGCTAGCTCTATCCCCATAGGAAGCAGCCAATCAATGATTCCCTCTCAGTATATCTCCCTCTCCCTTCCTCTCTGAAATCAATAAAAATATATATATTTTTTAAAGAGGAGGGTATCCAGAGTTGCAATGACACTAGAATAAAAAGTCTTACAATCAAAGACCTAAAACTATCCAGGTGTTAAGTATCATTTTAAGTAGATAATATAGGAGAAAAAGAAAAAATCTTCATAGCGAAATTGTATTCATGGCCTAAAATTTGCACCTCACTGATTACAAAAGATACAAAAAACAGGCCATGCCAGAGAACAAGTGACTCAAATCCCATAACTCTGAATTCATGCTTAATTTATGTGCTACAGCACATAACTGCAATCAGTTAACTCACTGT